AATAATATTAGAATGTAGTATTAAATAATGTTAGAATACAGTAATAAATAATATTATAAATACAGTATTAAGTAATGGTAGAATATAATATTGAATGATGCTAGAATACATTATTAAATAATAATATAATATAATATTCGATAATGATAGAATATAATATTAAATGTTACAAAATGATTTTAAGTAATGTTAGAAATACAATATTAAATAATACAATATAACATTGAATGATGTTAAAAAATGATGGTAAATAATATTAGAATGTAACATTAAATAATTTTAGAATAAAATATTAAATAACAATAAAGTATAATATTAAATAATGTTACAATATAATATTAAACGACGTTAAAAAATAATATAAAATAATGGTAGAATATAACATTGAATGATGTTAAAAAATGATGGTAAATAATATTAGAATGTAACATTAAATAATTTTAGAATAAAATATTAAATAACAATAAAGTATAATATTAAATAATGTTACAATATAATATTAAATGACGTTACAAAATAATATAAAATAATGGTAGTATATAACATTTAATGATGTTAAAAAATGATGGTAAATGATATTAGAATGTAACATTAAATAATTTTAGAATAAAATATTAAATAACAATAAAGTATAATATTAAATAATGTTACAATATAATATTAAACGACGTTAAAAAATAATATGAAATAATGGTAGAATATAACATTGAATGATGTTAAAAAATGATGATAAATAATATTCGAATATAACATTAAATAATTTTAGAATACAATATTAAATAACAATAAAATACAATATTAAATAATGTTACAATATAATATTAAACGACGTTAAAAAATAATATAAAATAATGGTAGAATATAACATTGAATGATGTTAAAAAATGATGGTAAATAATATTAGAATGTAACATTAAATAATTTTAGAATAAAATATTAAATAACAATAAAGTATAATAATAAATAATGGTCCAATTTAACATTAAATAATGTTAGAAAATAATATAAAATAATATTAGAATATGATATGAAATAATATTACAATATAATTATCCAATTATACAGTTGATAACTATAAATAACTATAAAAATGAAAAAATTGATAAATACATAACTTTTGAAATGAAAAAATTGATAAATATAATAACTATACATATAGTCATAATTACATTCAATTAAAATAACTGTTGAGTCAAACAAATTAGACATTAAATAATAGTACAAACAAACGCTATGTTAATATTATTTCTTTCTTCACTTTCACTCTTCTTCAATTTCTGTTAATATTATTTCTTTCAGAAATTTCAATATTCAATGACTATTAAACAATATTATCAGATGTAGGGTTTGATCTAAGCTGAAATTGCTATTATTTGAACATTACAATCAATTTGTATAGCATTATGATCATACCACGTGTTTATTTTATTCCTACATATTATGCAAACTATAATTCTCAGATACCGAATGAGCTTTACAGATATGCATATGAGTTTATAATTAGTATCGTAAACTTATCTACTATTTTATTTTAATTATTTTAGTTCTAACATTTATCTTAACTTATCTGAAAAGTGGTACTTTGAAAAGTAGTTTTAATATTTCGCTCACGCAATACTACGTGACCATGATTATGCAAATGGGTAGAAATTATGCGTTTAAAAATTCTCTGTTCAGAAGTATTTGAAATATCTCATACGAAAAATTTATCTTTTTCTGTAAAATTTTGTGGGTGACTTGTAAAATATGTTAAATAACACTCAAAATTAATTCTACATACAAAGCTTGTGATTTGCGATGACAAAAAATAATAAATGCAAATAAAAGAAAGTAAAAATAAAAATATTTATTTATTCCAAAATTGCAATTTTTGTATTGATTGTTTCCATAATAAAATTTCAGGATTTTTTAATACTCGTGATAAATTTGGAGTGTAGGATAATAAATTCATTATGTCTTTACGTGTTTTCTCTGTCACTGACTATAATCGTACATAATGGAGGTAATTGGACATTATAGCACAATTTTCACTTTCCCGTTTTTAGTGAAAAGTGCGAAACATAAAATTTAACTTCATAAAAAGTGTTTTATACACAGCTGTTTTAAACAGCTGATAAATTGTCCAACAGTATTTTTTAACTTTCTCATTCCTTGCAAAGAGATTCTTTTTCGTCACATTTAATTAAAAACATTTACTATAATTTTATGGTACTCTTATATAAAATTATGTAGTATAATAATTTTCCTTTTCATAAATTATTTAATAGGAAATGAGTAATTTATATCGTTATCAAAATGGACGTGTAATTGTCACTACTCATTACAAAAGTAATACCTTCATGTCACTGTTCATTATACAATCGATTTGTAAAACGTTTCTCTTCATTGATGAACACAGACAGATAACAAATTCTGCCACGCCCAATATTTACCATAAATAAAAAAGAGAAACGATATTTTGACAATATTTAAAGGAATTTGTTGAAAAATATTCCGATGTTAATATAAATAATATATAATACATAACAAAATTATATAATAATAATATAATAACAGAATATAATTTTGTACAAAAATATATAATATTTGTGAAAATGGTGTACATCAAAAATATAAAGAAAATTAAGATTAAGTATAGTATTATAAACTAAACGATATACTTCAGAAAAAAACGAGGATTTATTACACAATTTCAGAAATAAATTCTTAACAAGTGGATTTTCCTTCAACAGCCACTCAATAAAGCAAAATATTATCAATTCACTTATTCTGCAGTATTATATTAAAAAGCTACGTAATATCACCAAAATTTGTGATTAAAATTACTTCATTTGTGATGCTTACCAGTGTTCTAATTTTTAAATGACTGTCGCGAAACAACCCCCTTAAAACGCCTACAAGTCTTAATAATCAAAATCAATAGGTTGAAACTCGCTAATTAGAAGTCCCTAAAGACAACTTGGAGGACTTATTAAACAACCATACACAGTTTGCCCCATTTTTCAATTCCTTTGCAGACCTTAGGAATTATTTATGATGTCAGAAAATATTTTCAATGAAAGTGGTTTTGGTAGAAACGTAATTTGATGTTAAATATTTTTTGGAGAAGTTAAGGTAGGCAAATGACAATCAATTTTATTCTCTAAGTGCAACAATATATTCTTAATACAACTAATTAAATTATAATGATCAGTTCCTTATAAAATGTTTCAGCTCCTTGTAAAAAATGATTAATCTATTTGTACCAAGGATTATTAATTGGAGAGATATTTCAATTCCAATACGCCATTTTAATCACTTTGTAAACAAATTTTAAAGCTACAAATTGTTAAAATACTGCTGTAGCAATAACCACCTGAAAACAATCTAATAATATTTTAAAACAACCAAAGTTAGAAAAATTCAATTCCATGATACCAGCCAGACTAAAATGAAGCATCTCATAATGTTGAATTTAGAATATTTCCCAAACTAATAATTTTCCAACATAAATAGGTTAACATTTTTCCACAGGAAATGAGACACATGGACTGATAGATTAAAATATAGTGATTGCTTAAAAAAAATATTTTAATATGTCCTTCACGTTGTTACTTATAAAAAGTTAATAGTCAAACATATCCTCCTCGAATTTAACTTCAGTTTGAAAGATTTTCTTGTATCATAATTTCGAAAATATTCGAACAGATTTCAAACGAGACACTATGCAAACACCACATCGTGCACTTCATTCCCAGAATTATTCCAATTTCCTTCGGCGACATCTTTCGTCTTGAAGACGTTCGTCGAACGCTCCGCAAATCATCTCGGAAGCATTTACGCTCGAGAATCGTGCCAACGGTACAGACACGATGAAAACAAAGAGGTCCGCCGGTTGGAAAGAGGATTCCATCAATGTCTCTATTCAGGGTATGCTGGTAGTTTCAGGCAATAGATCGGACCTGCAATCGGGTCGTCGCGAACACTCGAGGAAATTAGAAGCAGAAAATTTCACGCTGAAGAGGAATCGATCAGTCGATGGTATGCGAGGTAATAACGAATAGATTCCAGAAAAAAGGAGCTCGATGCACGCGATCGAAAGATCGAGAAAGCCTGGCACAAAGAGATTGAAATGGAGGAACGAAGGGTTATAAACTGAGGGAAAGTTTCGACCACGTTTACCCGAGCTGATAAACGTAAAAGTCAAACGTAAAACTAGGGGAGCCTTGGACGGTTAAATGTCGCGAAAGGTTCAAAGGTTCGACGGACGGCCCCTGAAAATAGTCCTCGTTAGGGACGTGTATCGCGATCGAAGGGTGAGATTTCCCTTATCGTTCCTCCAGAATAATACTGGGTCCACGGTTCGTTGAGCAATACAAAATTCCATTCCGAAACGCCATCTGTTGGAAGCAAACAGCAAACCGAGCATCCCGAAGGAAGAGGATAAACCTGAATCTAACCTGCCGCTGAACTTATAGCCGCTTATAAAAATAAATTGAACTATCGATTTGCACAGAACAATTAAACACGGGGTACCTTCCAGCAAAGTTCAGAAACTATGCACATAAATTAGAAAACTACTTCACAATGGAAACTCGAGAAACACACTCTTTGCACTCTTCAAACTTGCAAATGTCGCGAATAGAAAGAGTGAAAAATAGAACTTGATCAGAACTTGAAACTGTTAGAAACAGGAGCATGCGATCAAAGAATTCACATTATTTTACCGAATAAGTAGCGAATCTAATCTGATATACCGTAATAGCAGTTCACAGAAGATTAGAACATTCCTTCACGCGAAATCTTTTTACGAAAAGGCCAAGTACACAGAATTTACTAAAAGATTGCACGATTTAAAGAGAAGAGTACAAGAAGAAAACTTTTAGGTAAAAGCTTCCGGTCGAAGCTGGCTGTCCGGAAATTTGAATATTCGTGGGAAAGAGGCGGCTAGAAAGGGTTGTAAAGAAGAATGACGCAAGAGGACGATGAAACGGGTAGTTCGAGAGAAAATCAGTACTCACGATGCTTGTTCGTCGGCTGCCTGCGCTCGAACGGGGGTTGTGCCTCCTCTGTTAGCTGCTAGCTCGTCGATTTGACGTCTACCTGGGCCAGATGCGAAACGTGAACCTGCTGTTTTGACGTGAACACGATAGAACGGGTGAAAACACGGACGTCGCGTTTTACAAGCGCATCATTATACGCCCTGCGACATCGACGACGGTGTAGGTGGCGGAAAATCTATCGGTGGCACGGTCTCTCGACGATGGGACACGAGTGCGCCTGACCGTTGGCGGACACGAACATGGCCGACCACCACGAAATCGATAAAACACGTTACGTTTTCCGCCGTTTCGACGGAGACGACGCCGTGCGCTTTCCACCCCCTCTGTAAACGGTTCGCGAACGCGTGCGCCGATAACAAACGCCGTCCGAGATCGTCGACGTCACGATCGGGGATGTTTGATGGAACTCGCGAGTCGAGGAACGTCCCTCCACGTCTTGGGGATTAACTCACTGGATTTTGGGATTCCAGCAGTTTTATGGGCCGAGATTTTCAATTATTTTAACAGTGAGGACTTTTGTACTGCTTTTTGACGTTACGGAATTTCAAGATTAAGAATTTTTAGAAGTTGTCTAAATTCTGAAGTTTTGAAGTCTCAAACTTCTAGTGACACTTGATTGTAATGTATTTTTCTAAAATTTTAAGATCTGTTAGGTCTTTGAAAATTGTAATTTACAGGCTCGGAAGTTGCCTGAATCACAGGGTCTACAAATTCTATAGTTAAAAATCCAAAATTTCTAATCTCACTCAATTGCAATATATGGTTTTCTAAAATTTTAAGATTTGTTAGGTCTTTAAGAATTGTAATTTACAGGCTCTGAAGTTGTCTGAATCACAGGATCCACAAATTCTATAGTTCAAAATCCAAAATTTCTAATCTCACTCAATTGCAATATATTGTTTTCTAAAATTGTTAAGATCTGCTGGGTCTTTGAAAATTATAATTTAGAAGCTTCGAAGTTGTCTAAGTCACAGAATCTACAAATTCTGAAGTTTCGAAGTCTTAAATTTCTAGTCACACTCGATTGCAACGTATAGTTTTCTAAAATTTCAAGATCGGTCTTTGAGAATTGTAATTTACAAGTTCTGAGGTCGTCTAAGTTACAGGGTCCACTAATACTGAAGTTTGAAGTTCCAAACTTCTAGTCTCACTCGATTGTAATGTATTACTTTCTAAAGTGAACACTCGATTGTAATGTATTATATTCTAAAATTTCAAGATAGACTAAATTTCAATGTTTTGTAATTAAAAAATCGAAAATTGTGTGAGAGGTCTAAAAATTGTGAAATTCTAAACTTCCAAACTTTTAAAGTCACATTTGATTGTAATGTGATAATTTTTAAGCTTTTAAAAATTCAAAAATTGCCTTAGTTCTAAATTTCTTAGATCGCAGTCGATAATGTAGTGCTTTGTAAACTTCAAAAAGCGTCTAATTGCAAAAATTTTTTAATTCTGAAATTTTAAAGTTGTTCAAAGTTTTATAGTGACAATATACCTGTGATTTAAAAGTTTGAAAGTTTCAAACTGTCAATGTATTAAAGTTTGAAAATTTAAAAACATCAAAGTTTCAAAATTAATACCAAAGCATAGATTTTTAATTTCTAAGTCTCAAAATCATTAAAATGTAAAAATTCCAAAGTCTGTATGTCAATTTCAAAATCCTAAAGTTCAAAAGCTTAAAAATTCCAAGGTTCTAAGGTTACTAATTGGGAGTTCTAAGAACTTAGAATATCAAAGTCTCAAAATCGTACGACTCAACGTTACTGAAACTTTAAAATCCCTGAGTTTCAAAATCCTGAAATTTCGAAATCTGTAAGTCTTTTTATAACTTTAAAAAATTGTAAAGTTATAAAATTAAATAATTAAAAAATTTCAAAGTCCCTAACTCTCAACATTTCATGAAATTCCAAATCCCCCAAATCCCAAAACTTCAAAATTAAATAATTAAAAAACACTAAATTCTCTAACTTTGAGAATTTCACAAACTCCCAAAATTCTAAAGTTTGAAAACACCAAATTCCCAAATTCCCAAATTCTCAAATTCTCAAATTCTCAAACTCTCAAATTCTCAAATTCTCAAATTCTCAAACTCTCAAATTCTCAAATTCTCAAATTCTCAAACTCTCAAATTCTCAAATTG